CTTTCCCTGATACCAAATCCTACTTTAAGCTTCAGCTTCATGTTGTTATTTGGAAACCCTAGGACTGGCAATCAAAAAGCTACGTGACAAAAGCAGAACAGCAACCAAAACATCATTGATAAGATGAACTCAAGGTAATTTTTTCCTAAATTTAGCCTGCTAAAGTTGACATAACTAAGAGTAAGCTACAGTATATACTGACGGCCTAACTTCGATTCCACACCTCTTATGACAGCAGTGACTATGGACACTGAATGAAGAATACACTCAGACACAAAGTAAAAGAACCTTGATTTGTTCTGACACTGCCTGCAGAATGAGCAATAGATCAATGGACACTGAGTTATCCACTGTTTTGGTGATCTAATGTGAGGGAAACGAGAAAGGAATAGTGAATAAATAAGTAAAAAATACAAGAGAAAGGAAGCAGTAGAGATAAGATTTTTTTTTTAAATAAAGCCAGCTAATATTGAAGTTAAAAGATATTTTTTCTATTAACTGGAAAAGAACTAAGAATATATTCCCTTACAAAGCTGAATGCATTATATTCCAAAATGGAAAAGTAATACAAATACAGGTTTCTAAACCTAAATGTAAAGTTAAACCTCTACTCTTCACAATTATTTCATACTTTCAGAAGGTGATTTTAACACATTTCATAAGATTTGTCAGCTGGACATCAGCAATGCGTCCTTAAAATGCCAGCTACGTTTCCAGCTGCCTAAAATGCCAGCAGAGGATACAAGATATCCCTACCTCCATATATGGCATGTATAAATGACTTTTAATTTTTCATTTCCCAAGAAAAGCTTAAAATACAAAGAAGAATGTTTGAACGATTTGATTTTCACTATTTACCTGCTGAAACAGGAAAGCTTTTTAAAATGAGTAATTAGGGAGTCTTGTGGTAAGGCCTGTGGCAAGTACAGCCGAAGTGTTTTTGAGGGTGCTGGCTCTGGGCGTTAATTTTTTTCATAGCAGCCTGTACAGCACTGTGGTTTAGATCTACGCCTAAAACGGTGTTGAAGCCACACCAATATTTTGTCTGCTGCTGCAGTGTTTGCACAGCATCAAGGCCTCCTCTGTCACTCTGCCTCCCCAGCAAATAGGCTGGGGGTGTGCAAGACAGTGGGAGAGGACACAGCCAGGACATTACTTTGTTGTGTTTTGCTTGGGAGAGCTACAATAAAAGCACTGGCCTCGTGCTTAATCTGTTATTTGGGCCTGGCATTAGTGCAGTCCCTTCAGGGATGTACCTGTTCCAGTGCAGCCTTATCCACGGGCCACAGTGCCTGTCACGAACCACAGAACTGCGCTGGTGTGGGGTTCTCCATGGGCTATAGTGTGGCACCACATGCTGACCACCACCTTTAGAGTGAGAGTCTACAGTAGGTGGAAGTGAGTCACAGAGAATAATAACTTCACTTTGGATTGTAGTAAAGTTTCGCGCAACTTAGCTAAACATGCCAATCCAAAAATGTACACTTGTAATAATCATTAAAGAGGTGTAAAGCGATCAGAGAGAAAGTTGTCCAGTCAGGGTTTATTTGAATCTTTACTTTTCTACAAGAATTATTTTGTAGCATAAAATGCCAGGCAAATTGAAGATTGTGACGAGAGATTTTCTAACACCACAGCTGTAACACCACAGTCATATCTGGTTAAACATTTGAGGAGGATTCTCAAAAACTAAAATTCCAGTAAATCGTAAATCCCAGTATGTTTCTCTTCTAACCCAGTCATGCATCGATGAACATTTATGAACTAAATGATCTTTATAAACTGTATTTAAAAATACATTGTGCTACAATTCTAATTTATAATTTGGGTCCTGAAGTTCACTACTATAGTCAGGTTAGCACAACATTTCATACGAATAAATAGGCCAACGACTAAAGTTTGTGAAGTTTAGTCTTTTTCCAGGGGTGCCTCAAATGTTCCCTCATTATCCCTTCTCACTGAGGATTTCTGCACACTCATCGCAAATCTTCGATGCCAGTTTGCTACAGTATTGGGCCTGGTGCTGGCACATACAATGTCCACACTTATGGGACAAAGGAGTAACACTCACTGTCACAGGCTATAAAGTTCTCATGGGGATGGATCCCGTTGTCCCTAGCTGGAAAGTTGCCCCTGCTTCTACCTAACAGAAGCAAACCCATAATTAAAACATCTGGAGATGCCAGTCCTGCAATATCATAGCAGGATTCATGACCTTATTTTTCCAGGGTTCTGCTTTTCTAAACTGGAAATATATCCTTATCTGGCATAACAGAAAACCCTAAATAAACAATGAGGAGCACATTTAACAATAAAAAAACAAAAAAGCAAATACATGATACATTCATACACTCTCTTCTAATTATACTAGATTTCTAGGCCACAGATTGGTTCTTTGGGAACCGTTAAAATGTTTAGCACTTAAACACTACAGAATCTGCTTTGGTCACCATAATGCATTACCTGGTAAATTAGTCTTCATAATATCAATGCCAACTTGAAGCTCAGGCTCAGCTGCAAGAACTGCATAATCTCCTTGATGAGAAACATTGAAGTTGTAATTCGAATAGATACCGAATACGTTATTTGCCAGGAAAGGTTTTCCTTTTGATGTCCTTTGCAAGTGTATTTCATTCCAAGGTATGCACAACTTTTCTGCAATTAATTTCCGTATCAGCAAGCGACCAGCCTACGACATAAACCAGAAGTGATTCATACAGAACTATTATGCTATGTGCAAAATATCTATGGTTGCTAGAAAACTATCTGCCTAAAAAAATGTGGTTTTATTATTGCCAATAGAAAGTAAGTGTATTTTAGCCAAATCATTTAGATTTCTCCCTTTTATAAAAGCCCGTGTCAAGTAAATTTAACCAAAAGAGTTCACCAGACCCGAGTATATAATACATTTGTTATCACTATAGCACAAAGACAACACAAGACCCAGTAAAAAGCAGTTCCAGCCTAGAAGAATCACATAAAATATTTACTTACTTAGGATACTTTATTGCACAGATGAATACTTTTTATACCACACGGAACAGTAAAACTGTCTCAACAGCTTTCCTTTCAGTACATTCGTTCAGTTACTTAGGTGCTAAATGAAATACTGAACAGCTAAAAATGATGAGTAACTTCTTACAGACTACTTAGCAGAAGTCCATATTACTACCACAGTTATGTGAGATTTAAAACCCGAATTATATAAACCAGCGTTATTCTCTTACATATTACACTACTGTCTCCTCGAGTACGTTGATTTTGTCTCCTAAATTGACATCACGACATAAAACTTGTGAAGTCTTTCAGAGCAACTACTAATAGCAGACTTCAAACATCCCTTTTTCCTCCTAAGTGAAGGTGTAAGTAGAGCTGGCAATTAATACTTGATAATGTATTTTACCTCCCTGAAACGCCCTTGCAGGGCATATTTTCCTAAGAGAAGTCAGAATTTTGGCCAGTACTGAATCTGCAGAGACAATCGCGTCCCCACAGGAAAGGGCCGGTCCCGGGGCCACGAGTGGCGCCAGAGGGGGCTCCTCAGCGGAGCGGCCTCGGCCCGCGCCCTTAGGGGCCCTCGGCAGCCTCCGCAACGGCCTCGCGGAGGG